TTCATTCGAGTTTTTATAAAACCAAGCACACTTCTTGACGGGTTGATCACTTGAAAGTGTTAAAGTGCGATGGTGTTAGCTCTCATTTCATTTAATGTAAAAGTATGGAAAAAGTAAATACTGCAAGTGTTGACAGAAGAGGTTCTACCACGGAAGACCACAGAGGACCAACAACAGAAGATGTTCAAATCACACAAGTGAAGAGTGACAGAACCTCTGTTGTCTATCACACAGAGGTTCTGGAAACTGGTCCTCTGTAAACAAAGTGTACAAGTCTAAGATGACAGAACCTCTATTGTCTATCACAGAGGTTCTGGAAGATGATCCTCTAGAATCAAGTGCTCTCAAGTCACATCCAGCAGAGCCTCTGGGATGGCTCAAAGAGGGTCTGCAGTTTTATCTTCTGTGAAGAACTTCTTTACTATTTTACTTAGGTTAGTTAGCTGCTCGTACTTATCACGTGACTATGTTTGTAATCTGCTTTATTTGAACGACTTAGATGAATTTGTACGTCTAGGTCATGTCAGAAAAGCCGTTAGGAACGAGTATAAATAGCAGCGTAGRCCWTTGTAATTCAGTGTGCTTCCATATTGTATTGTTAACATTTTCAATCAATTGAAAATCATTTGAAGCTACTCTCTTTTTGTTCATCATTCATCAACTGTGTTCTTCATTGATAGTTTACTCTGTTTGTTCTTATTGTTTCCGCTGCACTGTTAATGTTTAAAGATCATCCAGAGTATTTGATTAATATCCAAAACTGAGTTAATCGATCTTAACAATTGGTATCAGAGCAGGAATCAAATTCTAATATGATTTATTCTGTTCTTGGTATTAATCTTCTTACGCTCAAGAACACCAGTCTTCTTCATCAGGTTACCCTGTTCTTCACTACTTCATCAGTTTCTTCTTATTCCTACTTTTCTTCTTCTATCAATGGCGAATCCGGCCAATACTTCTTTATGAGCACTGGTTCGCAATCTAAACCTCCCACGCTCATACGTGAGGAGTACCCACAATGGAAAGTGCGAATGGTAAATTTTTTGGAAGGAATTCATCCCAGGATCTGTGAATTTCTTTATAATCCTCCCTATGTTCCCATGAATTTAATTCATAGAGTTCCAGCAACTGGAACAACACCAAAAATTCCCGAGCACTATGAACCACGTCCTGAGGTGAACTGGAGCGATGAGGACAAAATTATGGTCGAGTTGGGAAGTAAATGCAAACGATTGTTAATTATGGCTATACCTAATGAAATCTTCAAGTGCATCGATGATTGTCAACTGTCCATGGACATTTGGGAAGAACTAGAGAAGCAAATTGAAGGAGGCAAGAAAACTATTAAAAACAATCRATCAATTTGCATTGATGAGTATCACAGCTTCAAGGCAAAAGACGGTGAGTCCCTGTCAGACACATACTCGAGACTGAACACGTTGAACATCAATTGTAAAAGGTATGGTGTCATGAGAACGGCAGAGGAAAATAACTCATTATTCTTGAAAAGCCTTGGGGTT